TTGCATATTTTTGTACAAAAGAAAGTTTGCGAAAATGCAAAATAAGAAAAACAATTTTTTAATAGCCTAAAAGCTATTTCGAAAATTTGTAATTTGTAATTTGTAAATTATAAATTACAAATTACAAAATTGCACTAGTTTTCCCCTAAGTAGATAAATAATTTTAGAGGATAAATTTAGCCATCTATAAATAAATTACCTCCTATGTAAACTTTGTTCGGAAAAGGCCCATTACTTAACTATGTTTGTCTTATTTTTGCAAGCTCAAATCTTTCATATTTTTGTTGTTGCATACAAATTCCCCAAGGAGTTTTTGGGGAGTGATACTGGAGTGACAGTCCTTGGTCAGATATAAATCTGGATAGTTACGGTTACTTAGACCCGACTGTCGTGGTGACGAATCTTTCATATTCGTTTGCATCAGTGGCGGATTTACGAAGGTGGTTCTCGGGTTCAAAATGAGCTTTCTGGCAATGCTGTTAAATCTGGTCAAAGAGGTTTTTGAAATTTTGACCATCCGCTCGTCTTCTCCACATCCGCTCGTCTTAACCTCCGATTTCAAACTTATTTTCGGAAGGATTTAGAACACTATCATATAAGCTTCATCAAATTTCTTGCATTTATCAAAGTTTTGCATTTATCATTTTTGGGGATCAAAACACTGAACAGATTTGTTTTTGATAAAATGACTCTGAAGATGAGTTATGCTCTCAGAGTCAACGTCGCATCTATTTCCTGATATCAATGTCGTATTCTGTGCATACTTCGCTCTTATTTTCGAAAAGTTCGTGAAAATGATGTTCAGCATTTTATTTACTTGTTTATTTATTTTTTTAATCAAATGGAATACAAATCCTTACTGACTATAAAACAAAGAGCTTAAACACTACCTAAAGTAATTTAGCCACATGTTTCGAAATTCCTGCATAGCATCTTTTGGAAATTTCAATTGCTCACTCAAAGGCAAGACGTTGGAGTGCACCGACACACATTTTAAACACATATCTAAAGTAGAAATAAAAAGCAACCAGGAACTGAAGTTTTTGTTTGTGGTTTTTCCAACTTGCTAAAACGCCTTTCTAAAGACACTTTACATGCGAGGTGTAACGGCTCCCCCAATCACTTTTAGAAATTCTTCAATTTGACAGACTTTTCAAAAGTACTTGCACTTGCAACTTGCTGCTTTAGATGGCCTTATTTCACATTCACACGATAGTCGGGTCTACGTAACCGAAAGGGCCCAGATTTATATCTGGCCAAGGATTGTTACTCCAGGAACACTCCCCAAACACTCTTTGGGGGAATTTGTATGCTGTTACAACAACATCATGGCCTTATTTCTACATACATATATAGGTTGTCCAGACAACCCGCCTACCCCTCCTATAACCAACAAAATCGGGGATGCTCTATCTTTTGGTGGTATTATTGACTTTCGGTTTGGGTTAAACTGATCGGAAGACCATTTTTTTAATTAGACATACATAGGTACATGTTTTTAAAACAGATTAGGATTCTGAGGATAAAAATACGTTACGCTTGTTTGAAACTTTTTTCTCAATAGTGCCGTTTTCAGCCTTTAAATGACCTTCGAACTTTTACTCGTAATGGACTTCTTAAATGGGTGATAATCATTCAGGCTCTGCAATTCACTTCCGGGAGAATTCAAAGTGGCTTTTGTTGAATTTCACTTGGAATTTTTTATAGGAAAACGAAAAGATATGAATTACCAAATCGGGGATGCTCTATCTATTGATCCGAAAGTGATTTTTTTTAATAGGACATACATATGTACATACATATGTACATGGTTTATTTAGCGAAGAATGATATTTTCAACTTCTGCCTGGAGCATAGTCCATGAGTCCTGGTTCAAAGTCGTAAGGAGTAGATATGAATGTATTTACATACATTATTCTTAACAAAACTTGTGCATATGTAACATGTACATGCATACATATAATAAACATTCATATGTACATACGTACCCAAATATGTATACACATATTTAAGTACATGTGCAAGTCCAATGTAAAAACATTCATTTAGGTTTAAGTTAAGCAATGATGACATACCAATGTGGGATCGGTGAAATCAGGCGCTGTATTCATGGTCAAGGACACTGTAATGCAAGCTGTACACAAAACCGCCACGGCCAGGACCATTAGATAAGGCCGCCGCACTAAGAAGTTATAGTACCAATGCATATACATTCCCAACACAAAGGCCAAAAACAAATTCAATCCTCCTCCAGCTGTCAATCCACAGGATACAATTATTTATGTAACTTCCGTTAATTATATTAACATCCTTTGTGTGCAGTTGATATTGCAATTGTCGACTCAGTTTCTTCAAAAACTGTTTTTTTTTTGTAGTCTATAGGACTGAGCTCGTTACCCAGCGTTAGCTTTTATTATAAAATAATGGTACTCCTTTTATTAATTCATACTTTATATGCTTCGCACACTTTTCATTAAATATGAATATACCTATAATAATTGCAAATTTATATGGAAAACGACTACAGGTATTTACTAAGCATTTTACTAAGCAAATAATGCGAGGATAATAACCAGTGTGCGGACCACCGCGAATTCATATTACAACAAACACACTAGCTTTGTTTCTCAACTGATAATTGTCACAAACTATCACCAATTTCTACTGCAAAGCGTTTCTTAACCCAAAAAACTAGCAGAAACTAGCAGCTCTCGATCTTACGCTCTTCTTTTTTTGGCTTTCCTGCTAGTTTCTGCTAGTAAAAATTTTACTGTCAAAATGGATAAACAAAAATTCGCGCCAAATACTTTCAATATTCAAATACACCTATCAGCTGATTACTTCCTAGTTTCTACTAGTTTTGTGTTTCTTTACTTTTTCGTTATTTCGCTCTCTGTGAGCGTAATTCTTTCAATTTTCTCATTCTTCTTATTCCTGATAATTATTTGCTAGAAAAGAAAAGAAACAAACCTACAATTGGGTTTTGATAGGCTAGTCTCCCCTGAACCGTTTTTTTCCAGATTTTTGGCCTATGTGCGCTTTTATTCGAAACCTAAATGTTTCGGTACCGAGTATCGAGAGTATTGGATACTTAAAAGTATTAACTCAGCACGTCACTACTGCTGTCATCTCGACTGTGACGTCAGCAAAATAGCTAATTCTGTCAAATTCACTGAGAGCCCATTAGCGCTGTTGCCATCGGCGCCACCATATGTATTCTCAAAATATGGACTCACAATGTAAAAGGTGACGTGTTTGTTATAGATATGTTTATATTGCATGTGTTTCATTATATATAATAACTTTTACAGAAATCTAGAGCTTAAGTCATGAAACTTTTTGTACAAAAAATGTCCACATAAAATCATAAATGTAAAAATGTAAAAGTTTTATAAGTAAATAAACAAGAATTTAAGTAAATTAATGAACATTTTATAGTGTCGCGACATACTTTTGTTTTTTTCCTTAAAGCTTATTATTAATTTTTTCCTCATCTAACGAAAACCACGTAAATCCCAATTTCAAACTTTGTGCAACAATTAATAAAATTCCTCACAGTTTCGCCAAAGTTTCAAACTTTGGAATCAGAATTTTGAGAAAAATGTTTGGTATGCAAATTTTTAGTCCTTTAAGTTTTAGTGTAATAAACATGTATTTTCTTCTATAAGAAGTTCGTTTTTATATGGAAGAAAAAGCGTGACACTGATAGCAAAAAAATTATCAAAAATCAACGAGATTCTTCAGCAGCTTGAAACCTGCAATTTATTATATTATTTAGTATTTAAATAAGTGAATTCATATTGCCTTCAACCGTAATTTTTACAAGTCTTTTTGCTGCATTCAAATTAAAAAAATTCATCCCCACTATCGAGAGTATCGATGGCAGCGCACTATCAGAAAAATGACTATCGGCACAATCGATAGTGACCCCAAAAACTATCATCAACTATCGATTTGCCACTACTACTTTTGACTGCCATCCAAGTTAACTCTGTGATTTTGAATAGAAGACGCCACTTTGGCAACGCATGCATTGCCGCAACCAAGGTGTATTAAACAAGGTGGTGTTGGGGCGACAGCTGAGGTTTTCGCCGTGGAGGCCATTACGTCAAAATGATGTGTTTGTTGTAACTCATACCAATGACAGTATGGACATCAGCGTATAATTTGTTAGTGTAATTTTTTACTTATATACGGCCAACACCACCTTGTTAAATACGCCTTGGCCGCAACTGATAAATTTGCCCAACTCAACGTTGCCGAAAGCTTTCGCTGGAAAATCGTCACTTTACCTAAAAAAAATCGTATTTTCGTCAAAAAAATCGTAAAATTTTTGTTTATTGTATTTTTTTTTTACAAATTAAAAGAAAAAAACTAAGCAATTGCGTTTTCTTAAAATTGCATACCGTTAACTAAAATGTATTTGAACAAATTGAGCAAAAGGTCTGAAACTTTAAGAAAAAGCATTTAAAGGACAATTGCTTTTAAATAGTTGAACTCCGCTGGTTTGAAGTTTTTGGTCTAGTTTTAAAGTAGGGGTCTTCACACCGAGCTTGGCACCCGGTGTTCGGTAATTTTTCCCAATATATTTTGTTTGTGTAAAAATATTTTATTATCGGTACACCGGCTACCGAATTATCGTGATGGAAGCTGGATAATTTTTCTGGTAGTTGGTAAGCTGCAATCAGCTGTTCGATATTTATTCAATTCGAAATCTGCCCGCTGCCAAAAGGCATAACGCATATAAGTAAATAAAATTCCTTAAATTTCTGTTACAATAAATTTTTTTTTAAGAAAGATCATCCCCTTCTCCGTCCTTCGTAAAGGCAGCCTTGTGAAAGGGAGTGTCAAACCGCGGCTGTCAATAATTATCTGACCTTGTATTATTGAATCATGCATGGGTTCAAGGTACTAAAAATGTCAGTTCTCATAAAACATCGAAGCATGCAAGCAAAACATCGATAGTTTCGATGCATCGATGTTTTTTCGACATTACTACACCTCTGCTTTTAAACAGCTGATGATCATTTGGAGCGAGCGGCGGGTTATTTAATAGTGCAATTGGAATTAATTTTTAATGGATATTTGGCTGTAATGCTGCGTCAACTTTCAAACTCAATAAGAAGGCAATTGAAAACTAATGGGAACTCAGCTAAACTACTTGCTGCCATATCGTCAACAGAGCATCCTAATGGGTTTTATTGCACAAAAGCTACCGGCGGAAATGGAGGCCAAAGGAATAACAATGATAGTGCACGGGACGAAAAGCGTAAAATACGCAAAGCATCAGTTCCAGCAGTCCAAAATCCGTTTGCCAACGTAACAAACAAAACAAAGGAGTCTTACTTGACTATGGTTGAAATATTCGAAGATCGTGACGTTCATCGTCGCAATCATGTAGAGTTTATTTATGCTGCTCTCCGCAACATGGCTGATTTTGGGGTGGAGCACGATATAGAAGTGTACAAAGCGTTGATCAACGTTATGCCCAAGGGAAAGTTTATACCTACCAATGTTTTTCAGGCTGAATTCATGCACTACCCTAAACAACAACAGTGCATTATAGATTTGTTAGAACAAATGGAAGATTTAGGTGTGATGCCCGACTATGAAATGGAGGCTATGTTGTTGAATATATTCGGACGACGGGGGCATCCATTACGTAAGTACTGGCGTATGATGTATTGGATGCCCAAATTTAAGAATTTATCGCCGTGGCCACTGCCAAATCCAATGCCAGATGATACACTAGAGATAGCCAAGATGGCAATTGAACGTATGTGTACAGTAGACTTACGATCCAAAGTTTCTGTCTATGAAACTAAAATTGTCAGGGATGCCGTCGATGAAACGTGGATTGTAAGTGGGATGAGTGCGGAACAGTCGCATCTTTTACGTGTTCATCCCCGTCACAAAGCGGTTTATATAGAAGGCCCGTTTTTAATTTGGTTGCGAAATCGCTCTATTAACTACTTCACTCTACGAGCTGATCCAGATCTTGAATTTCTTCAAAGCCTAAAACAAAATGAACATGAAGATCAGGACGGTATGTAAATACCTATATGCAAATAATTATTTTTTATGAGTTAAATACATCCATAAGCATATCTGACTTAAAAATCTGAATTTACTAGATGTTTCCCGATTAAAGACGCCGGTTCTCGGTGCAGCAATGCCGCGAACACAGAATCAAGTTGGTAAAAATCGTTCAGTTCATCAACAAGAAGATGGTACTATATTCGCAATTTGTGCAACTGGAACCTCAACAAAAGACTCATTACTATCGTGGATACGACTGTTGGAGAATAACGGGAATCCAACGCTTGGTGAAATACCTGTATTATTCAGGGTTTCATCTGCTATTGCTGCGAAAGCAATTGAGATAGAAAGCAACACGACGAAATCGGGTAATGAGCAAGAAAGTCCAATCCCAAAAACAAACTGATTAAACCTCTCCGTTGAGTAGTTTCACCAAAATTTTGTTAAAAACATTAACAATTAGAATAAAAAATAACATTCTTTAGGGCGTCAATAGTAATTTTTATTTTGCCATGTAAATGTTGAAACTTCGAACATTAAATTATTTACATACAATAGATGGCTTTTAAAATATGTACTAAAACCTTATGAAAATATTTCTTAACTAGGCCATTAGCCAGCGACATAGGCTTAAGTGAAAATAATAGTGTCATTCCGCCATTTATGTTCAGCCTTATCATGAGTTTAATTTTCTCCTGAAATCGTTCACTTCTCGCTTATGTGTAATCACTACGGGCTGATGAAAAAGTTTCGGGTGAATTTATTTTCGGCGAAACTCAGGATAAAGCTGATTGTATAACCTAATGCCTATAAAAATCTTACATTCATTCAATGTGCTTTGCAGGATCAAATCACAGTAATATTTTTACATAAGTGTGTATACCCGTACATATGTATGTATGTTGTATTATAGAGATAATTCGACTTTGCAATACCCCGCCAAAAGATTATAAACAGTGCTCACTTATTATATTTACAAGTTTATACCATTTTTTGAGTTTTAACTATTTGGTTTATAAAACCATACATAGATCATTCAGAACACACGAAATAAATCAAGGTTCAAATTTTGTACAAAGATTCCGAAAATTCCAAAAATTATCAAAATTTCAAGCTTTTTAATCAGAAATTTTAGAAAATTTTTAGGTATGCAGGTTTATAGCCCACATAAAAAAGTACAAGTTTCAAGATACTCAAATTTGCGTTGATTTTTTTGATTATTTTGGTTGAGGGTATTTTGCATTTTCTCCCATACAAAGTATGTTCGAAATATTTTCTACATATATAAAAAAAACGCATAACACCGTCGGCAAAAGAAATTATGAAAAGTCAACGCGTAGCGCCTGCACTTTTTTATACTGAAATTGAATGGGCCATAAACCTCCATGCCCAAAAATTTTCTAAAATTCGGATTAAAAATTTTGAAATTTTACGATAAATTTTTGGAATTTGTTAATTTTTCGCAACTTTTAATTTGATTTTTTAATGTTCTGCACAAGATTTGAAGCTTTGATTTAGATGGTTTATATTTATGACTGAATCAAGTATACATATACATACATATATATATTTTTTTTAATATACCTAATTCAAATTCAAAAGGTCGGACAAACTCGAAAATGTAAACATCTGACTACTGTTTCCAACCGTCTGGCGGGGCACAGCACTTAATTAATAGTGAATGACTAGAACTCACAATCTCTTAGCTAGGGAGTAGTAAAAAAGTGAATTCACATTCAATCATAGCTTATAAAATTTTTTTTTTTTTATATATATAAGTAATGTAGCTGAAGTATAGATACGTATAATATTGCATTATTTAATTTATCAATAATTCGCAAGTCAAATGAGATTTAAGTTTAAAGGTAATTCCTTTCAACATTTTATCCGGCGGATTTGTTGAGCGGAAATACTTTCGTAACCACACCAATTCCTTTGCTTGTGCCCTCGCGAAACAGCATACGCATACCTGGCCGGACAAATTCAGGATGTCCGACGAATTGGAACAACACTGACGCGCTGTCATTGGTACCCATTTTTTCACGCTCCTCGATTGCTCTTATTATTGCTGTTTGCCGAATACTGCCGATATGTATAGTAGTCTGGAAGCCTACGTAAATTGCGGTAGCGTGAAAAAGAACAGACACTTCGGCCTAAAATAATGTCCACGTCAAAGTAATATATTCATATCTATGTACTATTAAATTCGCTACAACTTTAATTGCTCACCTGGAATAAAAATGTACCGTATGGCTCATCTTCAGGATCTCCAGTATCGGCCAGCAGTGCCATGCCACTTCTAAGTGGTGGAAGAGTCTGATTGGGAGTAAAAGATAAAGAAGCACTTTGTCCTGCACGCACCACACGGCACGGTGCTTTATTTCGATGAATTGTATGTACATTAACGGAATGAAAACTTCCGTCTGGTAATGGACCAATTTTTATTTGCATATTTTCGGTGAGCACGCCTTTAACTAACAAGCCACCAACTACAGGGCCAACTTCTGTTACACGAAAAATCTCATCTATGTGAAATTCGCTTGCCTCTTGTTCTAAGCGCTCTTTTTCAAGATTACTTATACTCGGCGATAGTACATAGAGGAATTTAGTAACAAGATTAAGTCCCGCACCAGTTACGTTTGAAACACAAAATATCGGAACAACTTTTTCCGATACCTGATTCGATGCTGCTGAGATCGCATCATCTGCATTTGTGATAATAAACGGCACCTTTCGGCAACCTACTGAAGTCAGAACATGCCTCAGCTCCTGTACAGTTTGTTCCGGACTTGTAATATCAGTCTTGGTAACTACAATAAAGAAGGGCATATCCAGCGCACGCACAATGGAAAGATGCTCCTTGCTAGTGCCTGTACAACCGCTGCCTGCAGAAACGACCAACATAGCATAATGAGGTGAGTAGCCCAACAGTGCCTGCACTGTTGTCCGCATGTAGCGTCTATGACCTGCCAAATCCATAAATGTAACCAACTTTGTAGAGCGATCGCTTATTTCTTCTGCCGTCATCATCTCATTATATTTGTAGTTGATAATTGTACCCTATTATAAAGTAAACAGTTTTATTAGATTTTGTATTCACCTATCTTCAAGGATGGCAGAAAAAGAATTTTAATCACAAGGCAAAAATAAACTAATTGCAGGAGTTTTTAAACTTGTATGAATTTACCTTTAATAAATTCAGGCATTATGAATCTCTATAGTTCACTATGCGACTGTGAATTAAAATTTTTGCTCATTTTTTTATGGCAATACTGGTTAATCCACAATTGTTAATTAAAAGTAAAATTTCGTTCAACTAAGCTAGGTAGAATTTCTAAATACTGGAGTCTTATGCATTTGCAGCTATGTATAGGGTGATCAATATAGACCTTTGCTTTTAAGTTAAAAACAAAACACAAGTTTCAATTATGGCGATTTCTTAAATTTTTACGCGCAAATGTTAAAAAAAAATCGCCAAATTGGCGCGAAATCGCCATATCTGGACAATCTGGTAGACAATGATAATGTTGTCGAGTCGTACAATTCAGCCTTATTTACGACTTACGCAATTAGGCTGAATAGTTTGGGGAATTGCTCTTCTTTAGACTGACGAATTTAATTATCTCAAAAACGTCTTGGGAGTCTTTTACTATTATTCTATCAGAAATATAGCAAAGTAAAAGGAATGTTATGATAGAATTAAATCGTAAATTGAACTAATCACAACTGAAACCAAATTATTAGTCGAGCCATCCTTTCCTACGCTACATTTATATGTTTATTTCTCAGTTTTAAAACTTTAATATTACCTGTGAATCGAACCCAAGAGTTTCGTGTGAAATGCTTGAAGTGCGACCGGATTGAATTTCATGCATGTGCCTAAACATGATCAGGCGTGCCAAACCGCGTCCATTGTCTAATTCACCTTGTGTAAGAACACCCAACAGCGTAGATTTGCCAGCCTCCGCGCCGCCTAGCACTGCAACTCGTATTTCTATATTATGTTGATCATCAGGTATTTTACGGACTAAAACTTCCGCCACAGATCGTTGAGAGCCAACATATTTTCGTCTCAAAACTGATGTGCTGGCGCCCAGCTTTTGTGCCATCTGCTTAAGCGTAGCCAACGAGGCGTTCATGTCCTTTTCGTTGAGTCCGTGTAAATGCCCGGAATCAGATACCCCTATTTCATAAACCGCTTCTCCATTGCCTTCACGTAGCCTCCATTTCATTTGTGTCACGAGATGTTCAAAGCGATGCTTTGACGGACTTATTAGTTTCAGTTTATACTCAATATTTCCTAATTGGGGCTCGGGTGGCAAAACGCCACGATCGAAATCTATAATTATCTTATTGTTGTGAACGTCCACTTCCCCTTCACTGCTGCTTCCACTTCCGCATTCAATGTCACTTTTGCGTATACCTCCATTTGACTTCCCAAAAGACTTTCGAAATTTTACTTCATTATTTCGAGGTGGACAATTGTTATTTGCCTTGTCAATATCACGAATCCCCTCATCGGGATCGAAGAGGTTTAAGAGTCCACAATCCATAGCCTAATAAGTAATGAAAGTTTAAAGCGTGCATGTATATATAAATATATGTATATACACTTGTGGTCAGCTGATTAAGTCAAGTGACATTTTGACTAGTTTTGGCTATTTTTCTTTTGTTTATCTAATGTTTATATTTTTTCTTTATAAAAGTTTAGCACTTTACCTAACTAGCGATACATAAATTCAAATTTCAAACTGCATACAAAAATTATGAAAATTCAACAAACTTTCACATTTGCACCCAAAAATTGTATTTAGAATTTTTAGAAAAGTTTTGGGTATATAGTTTTGTATCCCATTAAATTTTTGGAGATTAAAGTGCAAATTTCAAGATGCTAGAAAATCGCGTTGATTTATTGTATTTTTTTTTTTGCTTTTTTTGGGGCTACGAATTTTCTCCCATACAAACGTCGAGCATATTTTATGGAGCAAATTGTCGAGCATATTTGATATGGAAGAGAATGCAAAACAAAAATATTAAAAATCATCGCCAAAAAATATATTAAAAATCAAAGCGATTTTCTAGCGTCTTGAAATTTGCACCACTAAAATTTAATGAGCTACAAAACTGCATACCCAAAATTATTCTAAAAATTCCCATAAAGTTTAAAATTTTCGGGCTCAAATGTTAAACTTTAATTATAAAAATATAAACATTAAATAAACAAAAGAATAATAGCCAAAACTATTCAAAATGTCACTTGACTTAATCAGCTGACACAAGGGTATAGTATATGTATGTATGTATGTATGTAGATATAGGAAAGGGCATAATAAAGCAATGTGAATTCGTTACTATGCTTTAAACATGATTAATTTCTGGTAATTTTCATTTGACTCTATGCACCGGAACGCAACAGGTTTTACCCGATAAATACTTTCCCACGACAGTTGGAACCAAACGTTGGCGAGTCGACTTTGAAGTCATCCCGCATCTAAGATATAATGGACGAATGGCCGAACTACGTAGGAACTACTAAGGGGGACTGCTAATGTTGAAAAAACTAAACCAACGAACATAAACATACATACATACATACCATGCATGTATTTTCCTATATATTTATACAAATGCATACATACGTATATGAAAAGTGTTAAAATAGTGGTTATGACGTGGAACTTTCAAGTACTCATTCCAAAACAGAAAGAACTTTGAAAAATGTAGAAATCAACTGGCTTTGATGACCTTGGAATCGTTGTCCTTGTTTTTTTCCAACGTGAAAAGCACTATTTTTTAATTGGAATTCAAATTTCATGTGTCTTTTTTAATTAACATTTACAATGCACATAGATATTTAATTTACATTCTTTTAAAATGTGTTCAGTTAAATACTTGTCGATTACAAATTTGTTTCTTCTACAAAACGCGTCTATGTACTAAAAGTGGCGGCGCGACTCTTACAAATAAAAAAATCGATTTATTGCAACACTACATACATATGTTTGTGCATATATGTACATTAGGATGGTCTTTAAATGTAGGGAGCAAATTTTTACATCAGATTTCCTAAGCCTCAACCTCTACGTCGATGGTACTATAGTGGAAGGTATCACATATAAATTTTGGGCCCGATCGGATACGATTAACACGTGTCGCACAGGGGGCAAAATTCAGATTCCTCTATGGAGACTCAAAAAATTAAAATTAATATTTTTTTTTCGTCTAATACCCAAAATCGATGGTATCATTGCTGAAGATATTGCATATAAATTTTGGTCCAGCTTGAAGTCGGTTAAGGAGTGTCGCACAGGGGTCAAAGTTCAGATTACCCTATGACGACGTCTTAAAGCATAAACAGACGCAAGCGGTGATCCGGATCAACTCGGGAATTAACCGCAGTTGAATCGGATTAAGTCCGAGTTAATCCGGATCAACGCTGCTGCCTATTTAAGCTTTTAGCCGATTTAAATCGGGACTAAAATTTATATGCGATATCCTCGAGATTAGTAGTATCGATTTTGGGCATTAAATGAGAAACATATTTTTAATTTGTTGAGTCCATAGAGGCATCTGATCTTTGACCCCTACGCGACACGCCTTAGTCGACTCCATTCGGGTAGAAAATGTATATATCGTCGTTTAAAGTGCAAGACCGCGTATCAACCAAATGCAAAACCGCGTATGTGAAGTTGTAGAAATTATTTTCTAGAACGTAAAAACACTCATATTTCAAAATGGTTCTATTTTTTATAAAGCAATCGCATTTCTGGCTAGTATATTTCAGGACGAATGGATAAGGATTGAGCCAAGAGCTTGTGTGGGCAAATCCAATTTTTGGCAGCCAATGTCAGTTACGCGATTTTGCAGGATGACGATACGCGGCTTTGTACTTTAAACGACGATATGATATCTCCGATCATCGTAGTATCGATTTTGGGTATTATATGAAAAAAAATTAATTACAATTTTTTGAGTCCCCATAGAGGAATCTGAACTTTTCCCGCTGTGCGACACGCCTTAACCGTCTCCAATGGGGACCAAAATTTATATGTGATATCTATGACAGTGGTGTTACCGATTGAAGGGGTAAGACTGAAAAAAATAGTTTATTTGATTTTTTAAGGATCACCCTAATGTACATACCTATGAAATAAAACCGAAAACAGCAAACCAAACAATAAATAGATAAAGATAAACCCTTGAATTTATTTTTGTTGAAATTAGTAAGCAAGCTCAATCGGCTATTGCTAACTAAAATTATACGATCTTTGCGAAAGAGAATGCATTATTTTGAAGTCCTTTAATTTCATCTGAGTAGTAATTTTTCTTCAGTACTGAGTCCTAACGATGAATATTAATTCTAACGATTTTAATTAGATGGTGTTTTTTTAAGGAAACATGGGGAAATTTTAGTATACAAACGGCAAATTCTAGAAAAAAAGGGGATGAGGAGGGGTAGAAAAGGCCCCCTGATTTCAAAAATACCCCTTATTTTTTAGCAAACTTATAGTTCTTATATAATTTGTTGTTAAAGCTTTCGTATAAACGATGAATAAGATAGCAAAATAACATCAAACTCGGTGCTGCCAGACTGGAATTTCGAATAATAAAAGCGGATTTTTAATTCGGAATTTTCACTTAGTAGAATTCTCCTTTCTGCGTAGACGGCCTTCGGCCGCGCTTCAGGATTATAACCCTTACTAAATAGAATTAGATGTAGCCTTGGGAAAGAATAAGGTAACTAGAATTCCCTTTCTGTGTGGTAAACCTGGGGCTGCCGCCCCAGTGATGTCTATTATGGTTATGATCAGGACTAAGACCCCTATCGATCCCAATATAAATTTTTTCAATCAGAGAAATGCACGTATTCTGCACGTATTAACTGTTGGAGTGACAGTCCTAGGCCAGATATTCATATGTATGTACATGCATAAATCTGAGCCGTTTCGGTTACGTAGACCCAATTGGCGTGCGAGGGAAGAAGAAAGGCTGCCCACAGCCTTAATCTGAAAACCACACCCTCCGAAGGATTATGTTTTTAAGTAATTTTTTAACCGTAATAATTGTTAATTAAATAATTGTTAATTACTTAATTTGTTTTAAGTAATTTGATAACAATTTGTTAGACAATAAACTGTATTTTAATTGAAAATTCTCAAAAATTAATCATTAAAGGTAAGTGGCAAACTGTACATACATGTATCATATATGGCTTAAGCAACAAATCTATTTTAAGAGCTCACATATTTTCTACTTTCAATTAACATTCTCCTAGATAAAGCAATATACATATGTACATCTAAAATGTTACTCGGGATGCAAATACTATATATATATATATATACATTAGCGTGGGCCGAAAATCCGATTTTTTAGAATTTTGATTGGTAATAGCAAAAATATGGTTCGTTACGCTTTAAAAAAAATTAGTGTGAGAACTTGGAATTTTTTGGTGAATATCCTAGGCTCGCCCAAGTCCATCCAGGTAAATATGCTCAAAAACTAAAAATTTGTTAATAAATTAATTAATACATTTTTTTATTAAAATTGCAATAATCTTTTAAAGTATTAGTCCTACATAATTTGGTATATGGACCTTTTTGTAGAGAATCAAAGTTAGCTAGGAAAATATTTTTTTTAGTACCTACTTGAACTTTGAGGGACTTGGGCGAGCCCAGGAAATTGACCAAAAATTTTCACATTTCACACAGATATTTTTTAGAGCATAATGAACCATATTTTTGCTATTACCCATCAAAATTCTAAAAAAGCGGACTTTCGGCCCACGCTAATATACATATATACCTATACATACATTTGTATATAGTCAGACAATATGCGATTTAGTTTTATTGTTTATATCCAAGCAATTATTTTACTTTTGAAACGGGTGATGCAATGCGGATGATCCAGGAGTAATAGGCTTTATATCGAAAAGCTTAACAATTACAAAAACATAGTTATATGTTCCTTTAATAGTTCACTTACTTACTGTTGAACTTCTAAATTGTCTTTGCTTTAGTCTCAACTTTATCTTGCTTTTACTTCATGGACTAACCATAGAATTCTTACTTAATATTCACAAAATCACGAAATATTTACATTCTTTTTTGTTTAAAGAGCGTCCATATATAGCAGAGTTTCCCATTCGCATTTATTTTGTAGA